TGGCCTCCAACCTACAAGCAATGCCCTCCAACCTACTAGCAATGGCCTCCAACCTACTAGCAATGGCCTCCAACCTATTAGCAATGGCCTCCAACCTACCAGCAATGCCCTCCAACCTACTAGCAATGGCCACCAACCTACTAGCAATGGCCTCCAACCTACTAGCAATGGCCTCCAACCTAGCAGCAATGCCCTCCAACCTACTAGCAATGGCCTCCAACCTACTAGCAATGGCCTCGAACCCACTAGCAATGGCATCCAACCTACTAGCAATTGCCTCCAACCTACTAGCAATGGCCTCCAACCTACCAGCAATGGCCTCCAACCTACTCGCAATGGCCTCCAACCTAATAGCAACGGCCTCCAACCTACTAGCAATGGCCTCCAACCTACTAGCAATGGCCTCCAACCTACTAGGGATGGCCTCCAACCTACTGCAAAAGACTAAAGATCGTTGAATGGGTGAAAGAAGGCTTTTTCGCCCAGTTACACTGCTGTAAGGACAGGCAAGGGTATGCTTTGATGGGGGTATGTGGTTTTGGGTCTTTCAACCAGGGGACCCTGGTGGACCACCGAAAATGAACAGATTACGAGCCAGGTCACTCTACCAGGATTTGGAGCGGTTTTGACCCACGGCCACATCAGTGGATGGCCCCTGCAGGACCCGGCTGAAACGAACGGGTGAAGCCTACTTCCAGTTGAGTGAGTGGAAGTAGCCCTAAGAATCCTTGTGAACCCTCCGGACACGATGCTAACATGTTTGCTGAATCAAGCTTCTGCCCGCAAGCCCGCTTCCACTTGGTGGACGGTGTCAAAACCGATCGTTTGATCTGCAAATCCACGGCACATCTTTGAAGATCTGCTTGGAAGGCGGGAGATTCCCACAAGCTTTGAGACCTGCACGACTGGCTTCTGGTCGGCATGCTCTTCGGCTCCAGCAGATTGGGCTCAGTCAGTAATCCTCAGACAACACTGAGTCCGCGCGGATTATACGAGAGATCGAAGAAACTGGGCAACCTGCAGTTAGTTTCTGGTGCCCCAAATCCAAGCTACAGGACCTACACCTCAAAGTGACCAAGTGGAATCCAAGCGGCTCCTCAGACAGATCTATATAGTCTGTGTGTCCCTCTCAGCTACTAGTACTGAACCCCAAGGGTTTCAAAGGACCTTGAAATCCCGAGCTTTACAGGTTTTTAGGACCTTTTTTGCACACCTGACCTGAAAACGCCTCTGAAAACGCTCCAAAGCTCGATCTCCAGGCGCACTCAAGCCTGGGGGAGCCTCGACTGGTGGCATCACCTCTTTTCGTGCCGCTTGGTCGGCGGCTGGCGCGAGGCGCGCGAGGCTCGCGAGGCTCGCGAGGTCGGGGGAGATGCACTTCGTGGTGTCACGATCGTAGCACTCCCCAAGGCGTCTGTGCAGCTCCCAGAAGTCCTGTGAAGCAAAACAGCCAACTCAAAGGGCCTGAACCATGCAGGGTGGCTGTGGATATGTTCTGGTGTTATTCTTTGGCCATCGGAGTCCATCGCCGGGTTTCGGAACAGGTGGATCCACTGGATACCGAGACACTGGACAGGAGCAGCGAAGTGCCAGACCCGGGCCTTTTGAGAATGGTCAGTGCAGTTGCGAGTGACAGGACTGCGAGTTCCGTGCGGAACGTTGGGATCCATGCCTTGAAGACCTCTTTTCTTCTCTTGTTTCGCTGCCTTGAAGACATCTAAGATTAGCCGGTCCATCTACGTGAAGTCCGTCACCTGTCGGTTTCCGAGTCCCGTACTTCGCGAACATTGAAACGTGGAATGAAGAAGTCCTAGTGATATGGTCGACATCAATCTTGGGTCTAAACTCTAAACAGTTGATGCGTAAAAAAGTTATGGGATATTGCGTTAAGCACACAACAACTGGCATGATGGAGCTACGAGACCAGCAAGTGATGCGATCACAGCGCCGCGTGCAGAAAGATTGCTTTGGATCGTTCTTCATCCAAAACACCCCCCAAAAAAATTAACAAATTAACATGTCAATTCCAACGCTGTCGCTCCATCCAACCCTCCATTCCACGGCAATTCCTGGAAACATCCAGGCACGAATCCGCCGGCCTGCCGGCGTGCTTTGTGGATTGTTTTGGTTAATATTGCTTGTGTTGGTTTCAACCTACGGTTTGTATCTCCGCGCTGATTTTTCGACAGCCTGACGCCCCCCTCCCCCCCCCACCCTTTACGTCTAAGGTGATTGGACTGAGACATGTCGATCGCTGGATCAGAATAGACAACCTCTGATTCGGATTCGTTCCATTTCATTGTAAAACGACTTCGCTTGAAATCAACATCAACAAACTCTCCCAACAAAATGTGCAACTCCAATGCACCCACAAGTCTGATTGAGCAGGGTATTGTTGTTCGATGTCATTCTGGGTCTTTCATTTCAAACGGTTTGGAGAGAAAAAACGACAAATCATGCCAGATCTGGAAATTCTTCGGTCGCTTTGAAGCCTCCTGTGTGTGAAAAAGAATATCTGGTGCGTGTCGCAATCCCTCGAGACGGTCGGAAAAAAGATCTGAAAAGGAAAACATGCAAACGGCCAAGTAGTTTGGAAGAAGAATCGTTTTCAAGGTCATGTTTTGTGGATAGTCTTGGTTCGCATTGCTTGTGTTGGTTTCAATTGGTTCCTCTTAGGTGATTCGACAGAGACATGCCGGTTCGGATCGCTGGAACAGAATCGACAACCTCTGATTCGGATTCGTTCCATTTCATGGTCAAACAACCTTGAAATAAACATCAACAAACTCACCCAGCCAAATGTGCAACTCCAATGCACCAACAAGTCTGATTGAGCAGGGTATTGTTGTTCGATGTCATTCTGGGTCTTTCATTTCGATCGCTTTGGAGAAAAAACGACAAATCATGCCAGATCAAGAAATTCTTCGGTCGCTTTGAAGCCTTCTGTATGTGAAAAAGAATATCTTGTGCGACTCGCAATTCCTCAAGACGGTCGAAAAAAAGATCTGATAAGGAAAACATGCAAAAGGCCAAGTAGTTTGGAAGAAGACTCATTTTCAAGTACCGGTTTTGTGGATTGTCTTGCTTCGTCTGGCTTGTGTTGGTTTCCATTGGCTTCAATCTACGGTTTGTTTCTCCGCGCGGATGTTTCGACAGCCTGCCCTGCCCCGGTTGCTTCAGACTAGGCCATGGCGAGAACAGGAAAAAGCGAGTTGAATCAAAGAGACGTGCCGGATTATATAGCTGCTTCAGCCTAGAAGAGGGGATCTTGTCCCTGCCTTGGAACGAAAATAGAACTGTGGAACACTGTTAATAAGCATCATTAGGCTGCCTGCCAATGCAGGCTCGAGCTGTGGCCGGCGGCATGCCAAAGGCTGTAAATACTGAATACGTCCCACCACCCGAAACACGTTCCCTCCTCAGACTGCGCCATCTTCACCTCGCACCCCATCGCGGAGCGGCTCGGTGCTGCCCGCAGCTGACCGAGGTCGCTCGGAGGCTCAAACGGCGGCAGTGACCAGCGGGGAGGAGGGGACCGCGCGCACCCACCGGTGACGGAAGTGACCCATGCGGAAACCACGCAGCTCATGTGTAATGCCGGAAACAACGCACACCTCTTCCACAACAGAAATCACAGGAATCACAACAGTACAAATCGTCCACAACAGTAGAAATCACGGGCCATTCTCTGACAACAGTAGAACTCGCATGCAAATCACACGCACACCTCTTCCTAAGAGCGATGGCCTTCAACCGAAGAGCGATGGCCTCCAACCTAAGAGGAATGGAGATCGCAAACCAAGTTGCTTCCACCGCTCCCGCCACTCCCACCCCCGCTTTCGGAGCTGAGGTTCTGCTCGGCACGTCATAGGGCGCCGGATGCAAGAAGACATAGGCCACCAGGTGCTCTGCGAACCTTGCTCGGGGAAGAAGTGAGGCAAAGTGGGTCAAAGATTGCTCGACAAGTCATGCCAGAAAGACGCCTCTCGCATCTCCTTTGATTTATAATAATCATTCACCTAAAGATAGTTGGGTTTGGAATAGCAACGGGTCCGCTTTTACCCTCTCTTCCAACAAACCTTACGGCAAACCCTGGAAAGGATGATCTTCCTCAGTTGGTACACTCTCCACCTGGAAGTGGAGAACCCGAAAAGGCCTTTATACATGGAACTGCAGACACACACATAGCCACTTTCCATGTTAGGGAAACTGGGAAAAAAGTCAACAACCGAGACTAACATTAGAACCCACCTGAAATACCTCCCCCACACACTCTTGCAGCACAAACATGGAAGCTCAACAGCAACAGATTACAATAATACACACACATGGCTTCCATGTTAGTGAAGTGTCAGCGCACTAGCATTCCATGCACAAGTAAGAATATGTATATATTCCACTAATATGGCGGTGCACAACATTGCACAAACAGGCTTGTCTCAATGTTTCTGCCCAAACTCAGCGCTTCTATGTTAGTGTGTTTCTCCTAGAAAACACATTTATTGCACTAGTGCAAACATTGCTGAGATCAAGCAGGTTGCGTTCTATGTTAGTGATAGGATGTATGCAAGTTGATTTTGGTTTGATGCTCGGCTTCTACACATAAGAGAGGGAGAGCAAGTGCTACTTCTTTCGCTGACTCAGGGCCTGTTCTGGCGACCCCTCCATCCACATGTCCATCCAGAAGTTCATCAAAATCGCCAAGTCTTACTGCTGAAGGAAATCCTGAAAACCGCCTCAAAAACCACCAAACCACTGCAAATGCCGTGTGTGTCTTTCTCCGTGCAAAAGCTTGAGGATGGCAGGTGCAGAATGGTCCAGGTTCGCAGTCTTACACCTGTAATGTTAAATTGGTATTACAGTACTAAGGTCAGCCCAGAATTGCAAAATTCAAAACTTCCAGAAGATCCAGATCAAATTTGACCTCTCTCCGGCGCGGCCACGGTGGATGTCTCAACGAGCCGGAAGAGGACAAGGAAACCCAGAAGAGGCCACAAGTGGCGCTCTGAAACCACTGTACTTGGGCGAAGTGCCACAAACCACCAACAAAACATGTTGATATACCCTACGTATGAAACACGGAACAAAGACATGTTGGCTTGTCCTGCACCTAAACCACTACAAAGGCCCTAAAACATGGTTGGCCTCGTATTTCTGCGAATCATGGAGCATCGCTTCCCTCCATGACTTACTAGTAGTAACAAGAAGCTACTAGGAACAAGTGCATCGCTTCTAGTAACAAGTGCCTTACTACTAGTAACAAGAAAATATGTGTTTAATTTAATTCTAATTTAATGACTTGGAGTAGTTTTAGTTTGGATTCTTGCAGGTCCCGCACGACCAACACCACTTCTTCACAGCGGCGTGTCATATCCGGAGAGCATCCTCAGCTCGAAGAGCATCAGCTCACACGGGGCCGCACGGGGCCGCCGTGGTTCGGTTTGCCGTGGTTCGAAGAAAGGACGAAACGGAGAAGAAACCCAAAGCATGATCCTGTTGGTTCTAGTGAACTCTTTTGACTACACAATTAAGTACCATTGATACTCAAATTGAACCACCAAAAAGGACGTGTCAAGTTTGCCTGTGCCCGCTTTGGTGTAGGACCGGGTTCACCTGGCTTGAAGGAATTCTGCACTATTTGAACAGAACACGTGGGGGCCTTTCCTCAGGTGGTGTGCTTTCTTCCATCAACAGTAGCTGTGCCGTGCAGATTGCTAGCAGGTCAGCAGCAGCAGCCGCAGCAGCCGCAGCAGCCGCAGCAGCCGCAGCGGCCGCAGCCAGCAGCCGCCAGCAGCACAAGAATATGCTGTGAAGCTGCCAGGATCAAGAATTCATTGCGGATCATGGGGGCACCCAACCAAGACCCATCCTTTGTAATTCCCACTTCCAGAAAGATTCCATGTGTTTTCTGCAGAATCACCCAACCAAGGGAAGTCCCTCGACTCAGCGCAGCGTTTCTGACCCCTCCGCCGAGGTCCCGGGAGGGAGACGGGGTGGGAGAACACGGTCTGACCTCGAGCGACTCGGACCGTGCCCGGTACAGCGGATGATCCTTACATCCTTAGGAATCGTTCTGACTGAAAATCAGACTTCATATCACTTCCCACAGCCATCGCTACATCTTCACGAGACATTCAGAAGCTTCACCCTCACCCATCCCACGCCCCAGCGTCTGTGAGGACATCCATCGCTTAAAGAGTCGCGTGGCACCCGCCAACGAAGGATGTTGAAGCCTTGGAGAACGTGTCGCGCCGACGGTGAAGGTTGGTCACCAACGTGGTGAAGGTACATCTCCGGATGTGTATGAAAATAGGGAAACCTCCCATGCAACGACCCCCTGGGGGAATGAAAACAGACGAGTGAACCCTGCCATTGGTTCAGGATCCTGAGTTTTTGGAACACGATCCGAGGTTTTTGAGATAGAGTCCCCTATCTCCATGAGCCTTGTTCGCCAATGAAACGAGTTCAAACATCATCTGTTGACCAGGCAGGGTCTGAGAGAACCCGACTTAGTCGGGCTTCTGAAACAGTTTCTCTGCAGTACATGAGGAATAGTGCTCCTCTTTTCGGCTCAATGCCTTCTAACATCGGTGCTCATACCTACTGCGAGTACCGCCCAGACCTCAACCGAGGGACCTCGCCTCAGTAACGGCCGTGGATGAGGAGATGAACGAAACACCAAGCAAGTAGCTACGTTGGTAGCTTCTTGTTACGTTCGTAGTGAGAATGCTCCGTTCGTAGCGATGCCAGCCCCGTTCGTAGCGTCCCATTGCTCCTAGAAGCAAGGCCAGGAGCCCCGAACGTAGCTTCTTGTTACTAGCAATGGCCTCCAACCTACTTGCGATGGCCTCCACCGAGCATAGCGTCCTTACTGGCCGTGGTGCCCAACAGGTGCCTGTCCCTTCAACTGACGGACGCTTTGATCCTCGATCCCTGGAGCCCTTCAGTTCGGTCCACCGAACGAACTCCCTGCACAGAGCAAAATCATGTCAAGGATACTTCGAAGTGACCGAAGGCAAAGAAACATGTGGCCAATACCATTGGCAATATGACACCTAAATACATCTAAATACATCCGTAAATACTAAGGCATTAAAACACATCTAAATTCACCATCAAAAGGATCTACCACGTCCCTCCCTTCGGCCAATCGGCACCAACGCATGCAGAGCTCCGTACACCCGTGGCCGCCACCAGAGCAACCTGAGGCCAGCCACCAGGTGCCGGGCGAAGTCGTGAAGCATAGACAGGTGAAGTCACTGTAAATCCTTCTATCTTATACTTAACGTTAAGTGACTTCAATTGAACAAATTGGTGCCAGGAGACTATCATCCACTTCTTCTTTGAAACCGACAATGTTGAAACTGGACACTGCATTGAGTGTCCAAAAGTCCAGTCACAAAGCTCCAACAGATGTTCCTAGGCTGTTTTTTTCCTCTGTGGACCCCAAGTCTTACGAAGACCAGTCTGAAAAAAACGACCAAGAAGAAACCCAAAGCCTTTACAGTTGTTGTACTTACTAAGCTATATATATATATATATGTTTGCTGTAGCTATATACCGAAGAGGATGTGCTCAAACTCTTGCTGTGGGTTGCTGTGCCGTCCCCGATGTTCAACCCGGGCGCCTGAGCCGCTCGAGCATGGCCTCCTCCGGGAAATCCTTCTCGTGGGAAGAGGCCTGGTCCAGGTATGCCACGTGGCAGGCGTTTAGAAATGTGTCCCTGAACTTCCTGGACAGCCTCATGAAATGCCTCATGAAATGTCCACCTGGGTAGTCAACCACCACGAAACGCCTCTGGTCCAAGTTGCAACCGCAACGCCTCCGACTCGGCCTGAGGGTCGGTGACCTTCTGGGCAGCTTCGGCCATCTCGTTGGGATGGAAGATCCGCAGCCGGAAGGTCGCCTCCGGGTAGCGCCTCAGCACGGAGGCGAATCAGAGGGAACTCTATAGATCTATATACATGGGTGTGTAGCAACATTGGGAGACCTCTCAGTCCTAGAAGAAGAAAGGAACTCGACTTAACTATAGACCAGTCTACCCATGGTGCCAGGTTGGTCTTGCTTGTCTCCCTAATGAAATACACCCACCATCCCATCCTACCTTCCTCCATGTTCACCCCACCCTTCCCCAAGATCCCGCATTTATTCCCGCGAAGTCAAGCCTTCCGGCCAGGCACAAGTCCAGAAAGCCTTCCGTCGCTGACGCTTCAATGCCCAAGTCCGATGACATCTCTTCTCGAATCCTCGAGGCCGTGATGATGCGCTGGATGCGCAGAAGCGATGCAGCCGCAGAATGTCACCGTGATGTCCAGAACCACTCCATGTTTTGAAGAAAAAAGTAGTTCAATCTTGTCAAAAAAATAAACTGTTCAGCTGCTGGAATACTCTGAATACTCCCGTCAAAGTAAAGTGTCTGCAGGATTCTAGGTTTGGTGAAGAAGGTAGACTGTTGATTGATTAATCCCCCATAGCAGAATCATTTGTACATCTCCATGTCGGTGTTTTTTCATCAATCAACCCGTCAACACAAAATATATCATCGCTCAAATCTTCAAGGAGGGCTTCAACTTGGAAGGCCTTCAGCAT